TAAACAACTTCAACTGTGGAGTAATAAGATGGCATATAGTATGGTATGTTAACTCATGTTGTCTATAGCGATCCTGGTTTCCCTTTCTTTACTTGTTATTACACAGACTTAGGATCCGTGGAGCTGGTTGTTGAGTAGTATGTTGTTTGACAGCCCTTTAACCTTATTTTTGAGTCTTTGGGTTTGTTGGGAAGATTTGGAGCAGGTTGGTTGAGGCTTAGGAACCAAGTCTAGTTGCCGACTCAGATTTTGGCTTGTCCGCTCGAGCGGGGGTTTGGAACGGCTCGAGCGGGGAATACCCCATCTAGTATGTCCTGTGTAGTGTTGGCCGCTAGGCGGTGGGATTGGACGCTCGAGGCGGTCTGAAGTCGTGAGTGACGCTCGAGCGAGGGAGTTGCGAGTCTCGAAGCGGGGACCTCGTGTCTGCAAAACTTCTGGAGTGTGCATTCGCCGGTCGGAGCGCGAGTTTGGCACGCTCGAGGCGGGAGTCTGTGAGTGCGCGGCTCGAGCGGGGCGTTTCCACGCTCGAGGCGGGGCGACTGGTATAGAAAATAAGCGAGATCACCGACTTTTTGGATGCATTTTAAATCTCTTTTGATTTTAAAACCCTAGAACAGCCGTCTTCTCCCTCCTCCCTACAACACCTTCTCATATCTTTAGTTTGATCTAACTTAGAGTGTATTTCTACGCCATAAGTTCTATTGTTAAAAAGATAGAGTGGCGTCGAGGCTTCGTTTAAATCTGAACAATGCTTGGGTTTGGGCACTTTGGTTTTTCGTCATCTTCTGCCATTCGAGTTCTTCGCTCCGAGGTAGGGATTTTCCTACTCCATCTTATATAAGTTTTGTTCTAAGTTTTTGGTATTTTGATATGTGGGAAACTTTGGTAATATTTGGGAAAACCCTAAGTTGTAATAATGAATTAATTGTATAATTAATTTCAGGGAAATGTGGGCGAATTTTGGTTAAACATTCATGGAAATCGAGGAATTCATAATGATTAAATGGTGTAGTTGTATAATTTAAATCGCTCACCTATTGAATTAGGTTGAATGTTATTTATTTCCAGTCTAGTAATACTGTTTTGTGGGCTATCGGTGGAGGATAATCGTGTTTGTTGTAGACATTGTATGTGGAATTAGGGAAAATTGAAACCTAATCAAATTGTTTAAGTCATAAATTTAGACTATTGAATTAATAGCAGAATATACATGTATGATTGAGCATGTGCATTGCATATATGTTTGGGAAGAAGATAGGGGATGTACTCCGGCGGTTAGGGGAAGATAGGTGGATGGACCTCTAACCCGGATTTATTGTTTGGGGAGGAGATAGGGGATGGACTCATTAGGGTCATCAACTTTTATGTGTGGCTTATCTATAATTGAAGTGTTTTTCATGTTATTGATAACAGCACTAAAATGTGTATGCAAATGAGAAGTATGAAGTGTTTTGATATGAGCCTGAGTTCATCTGTGTTGTTAATATTGGAAGAGTAATGTGAATGTGATAATAGTGTCACTGTTCGTAAGTTTGGTCCAGGTTCTGAGCTAAAAAAAAATAAAAGAAAAAATATTGATAATCATAGGGAATTGAAACTTGTCATAGACATTAGTGTTATGAAATTGTAACAAGTTATCATTGATTATCTTGGTTAACCATCTATTGAATGCTATAGCTTTATTCGATGCTTATATTTGGTTTAGTACTTTTCTATTGGGCTGTGGCTCACCCTTTATGGGAACATCATTTTCAGGTTCAGGTGATAAGCTACCTCCAAGGACTTAGCTTGGAAGAATTCGATCTTTTTTTTGGATTTTGAAGAATTGTCTTTAGCTATTTGTTTTTATTTGAAATTACATGTAAACATTCAAGCCAAGGGCTTAACTTGTAAATGAGTTAGTACTCATTCTTTTGTGTCCAAGTGTTAGCTTGGAAAGATGTAAGCCCTTAGGGCAATTATTTTGATGTTACATGTGATGTTTTTCCATAAAAGTACTCTGATGAATAATTCAAATGATTCGTTTTCTTTTATTAATGCATGTTAATGTTATGTATGTTATGGGTTTAATTTGAGGGCGTTACATGTCACATAATGAATTTTAAGCCAACTAGTGTTTCTTCACCAGGTCTGAATTTTCTAGCTTATTCCTCATAAAAATTGATTTGTTACTATATTTGATTTGAATAAAGTTTGCTAATACTAGTTGTAACTATATTTGGTTTAAATAAAGTGTGCTAATATTAGTGAGAACTTGTAGAAAATATGACGACATAAAAATTATGCAGGCAGTGAAATTCTGGCCTTTCCAGAGCCTCACATGGATGCTTAGGTTCAAACACATTGAATCAAATAAATATCATACTGGTGAATGGAACAGAGCTCAAAAATGTTGTCGTAAATAATAAACAACTCATATCAATTGATCAAAAAAATAAGAGATTACATGCATTATACCTGGTAGTTGATGCCTCTTCTTTGAAGATCATGAGGCAACAATGGATGTTGAGGATACTTCTCTTCCAAATACTACAAATTACTAAGCACATGTTAGAAACATTGAAAATTTTTACTAAAATCAAATCCAATGGGGGTGATGACAATAAAGGTCCAACCACTCACCATCAAGATTGCAAAAGAGTCTGAAAGCACAATGTCCTCATCCACCAAGACCGGCACATAACCAACAGGATTGAGCTTCAAAAACTCTACATTCGAGAAAGGAACAAATGTTATGAAGCATATTACAGTATCTGTAACAAGTCTCAGTTATGATGGAACCCAAAATTTTGGCCTCCTAGTTTTATAATATGCATATGTATCTCAAGAATCAACGCCATTGAAAGCAATTTATGTATATATATATATATAATATAAACTGCACTCACCTCCTTGAGGTTTGGGAAAAATACAGTTAGCCCCACACTTTTGCCATAATTACACTAACTTCCCTTTTACTAAGGCTAAAATGACTGAAACTAATGCAGATGGTGGATAGACTTTGAAATTAACAAAGATAAACATACATTTTAGTTGAAAAGAGATAATAATATTATTTTTTTCATTCATAAAACTAATGATTTATTGATTAAAAAAAAAAAACCTAGTTGTGAATTAAAACCTCAACGGAGACCAATGTAATTATGTCAAAAGTGTGCGGCTACCTATATTTTTCCCAAATCTTATCCATTCATATGTATTCTGTTCTTTTGGTCTCCGTGTCAGACCATCTCCAACCCTTCACCGATTTTTTCATCGAATTTGATTCTAAATTTGAACAAAAAATTTGATTTAATATGAACTACTACAATCTTTTCATCAAAATCTTTATAAAATTCCCAAATTTCCCTTTTAATAGTAGCAGAACTGTTACAAAAGTACACCTACTACTAACAACAATCTATCTGTGTGTGAAAATGAGCAACCAGTAAAATACAACTCACCAGGACTCAACTGCTCTCCCTTGAGTAAATTAACTGCTTTGTATTCATAATCAAGACCTGTTTATAAACATGATGAACAAAAATCAACCACCAATTCATCAAAATTGGGTTTGAAAAAGAAATCAAATTTAGGGAGTTAGAGAGAGAGAGAGACCTTTCAAGTTAAGAGCAATACGAACACGTTGAGAGCAAGAGCTCCGAAAGTAAGAATACAATTGCAACTTCGTTTTGGGCTCCACAACAACACCACCACCACCACTCGCCTAATCATCGATTTCAAAAATTCAACAATTCAGGGGTCAATTACTTGAATTGGTCCGAGAAAATGAGCAAGAAAAAAGATTTGTTTCTGCATAAATTATATAAACATAGAGAAAGAAAGTGAGTGTAGAAATAGAAAGAGGAGAGAGAGAGAAATGCACACCATAACTAGCTTGAAAAATTCGATTGGATTGGAACTGAAAATTGACTCTGTTTTCAAATTAGTCCCTATTTATATTAGTGTACACATTATTTATTTACTTATTTTATTATTAGTGTCATTTTTGGTCTATCAAATATGCCAATTATGATTTTGTAATTTTTTATTTTGATCAGTTTATGACTTAATTATAATTTATTATAATATTAATTATGATTTAATTATAATTTTTAGAGAAAATGTCAAAAGAGTGGTTTGTTGAACAAGTAATTACCTCAAGCCTTAATAAAATTGGAAATGGCAATTGCTTTACTTCTGCAACTACTCTAGACAATAACTCCTCTAACCTTTGCATTGTGCAGGATGTTAGGGATAGCAACAGTGCAATAGATTCTTGGAATTTTATGTTAGGGATAGCCACTAACACTTGAAGTTTTTTAATATATGGATGTCTGGTTTCGTTCTATAAAAAAGAAAAAAGGAAAAAAAAGAAAAGAAAGTCATTTATGTATTAAATTGTGCAAATAAATATTGTACTTTTATGAATTTATAATTATTTTTTCTACTTCTCATTTTTATTTTATATTTCTCCTAACTTTTATTTTAATTATAATCGAATAGGTCATTGGTTATGTCCAAATCATATTTGGTTATAACATTTAATAATGACTATTTTTTATGTTGGTTATCCGATGTTATAATTATTATTTTGGTTATAATTGAAAATGTCTTTATTATGTCTTGTGTTTGATTATTATTCATTGTTATTTTTTTTAGTTACATTTTAGGATGATTTAAATACTACAAATATCTTCACTTACATTAATACAATGATTTTGGAGTGTTTGATAACTTGGTTTAGCACTTAAAATTGAATATATTAAGTGATAATCAAATAAATCCGTTTAATAACCAAAATTGATATCATTTAAAAATTTAAGTGTCATAAAATTCAAGCTAAAAGTTAAAAAAAATTCAACTCATATAAAAATTATTTAATTGTGATTGAATTTATAAATACTAAACATAAGAATCGATATACCCAATTATAAACTCACTACCATTGCCACTACCACTACGACTACCACTATCACCATTATGCCACCGCCACCGCCACCGCCACTACAACTATCGCCACCTTCATCGTCATTGTCATTATTGTTATAAGCACCATTATCATTTTACTACTAGCACCACTGTAGTTGCCATTGTATTACTACAACAAGAGAATGGCTTCCCTTCAGTCCCAGATTGGACTAGAGAGTACTGTTGGACTTGTGGAGCCCATCATGACATGTTTTGATAATCCGAACCGTTCAATATGTAGAACTCATTGAGTACTATATGCCTGTAAAAAATCACATTGATCGGATATTGATAGCTATTTCATCGGATCAGATTTCTTTCAACTGTTTATTTTTTCACTGTCTATTTTTTTTTAATGCAAAACTGATTTGATCACATAGCTATCGATATCCAATCAATGTGATTTTTTATAAACATATAGTACTCAACGAGTTCTACATATTAAACAGTTTAAATTATCGAAACAGAACTCCTAATAGGCCCCCATAAACCCAACAGTATACTCCAGTCTGATCTGGAACTAGAGAAAATCCATTCTCCTACAACAACCACTATAATCTTTTACCTATATAATCATTGCCATCATTGCCATCATTGTCATAACTAGTACAACAACCACTCTCATTACCCTTCCACCATTACAAACATCATTATCTGTCTATCTTTACCACCATTGACATCAGCGCCATAGCTAATGCCGGCGCCTCCACCACCACCAATTCACCACCACCAATTCACCATCACAATATAAAAATTGAAAGATACAATTTAAAAATAATAAATTTCAAATTTAATTTTATACATATCAAACAACTTGCCTTAATTATTCACCCCAAAAAAAAAACAACTTGCCTTAATTCAACACTTAAATTTTTATAATCAACTTTTCAATTTAAAAAATTCAGTGTTCAGTTTTCGGTACTTAATTTTCAATTTTCAGTTTTCAAACTTTATCAAGCACCATCTATATATATATATATTAGTGGGTTTGTGGTTAAATCTGTAAAATATAAAAGTGTATTGGTTGTGTGTCACTCAAATGATAAAATTATTATTTCGCAGATCAAAGGTCTTGAGTTTAAACTCCATTCACCCCATTTTGTGTTTTAAATAATTGTTATAGGGGAATTTTGGAAAAAAAAATCTAACATATAAGACATAGATGGGTAATGTTATGGTACATACCTCTCAAAAAGTATGTATTATATGCATCATTGTTAGTAATTTTTTTTAGTAGAGTTATGGTGTATTTTTTTATTTTATTTTATGGTGGAGTTATGGTTAAAAAATATTTGGATAAAAAAATTTATAATATTATCACAAAAAGAGTAATTTCATTTTTAAATTACAAATTGCCGTCTACCAAAAAATTAGGTTATATTTACTACAAAAATGCATAATAGAGTGCATATGATATACACGTTTGGATGGATAGATACAAGGATTAATTACAAATATATCCCCTAAGGTTTACTTAAAATATAGATTGCTTCCTATGGTTTAGAAAATTACAAATACTCTTTATTAGATTTTTTATTTAAAAAAATCAACTGAAAAATTTAAATTCTTAATTGTTTTCTTATATAATAATAAAAGGATAAATTACATATATACCTCTTGAGATTTACTTAAAATACGATTTAGCTCATGTGGTTCTGGAAATTACATCTCGCACCTTAAAATTTCTAATTTCATCACAAATAACCCATTTATTAATAAATCATGAAATTAAGTAATAGTTTTTGATGATGTTATAAATTTATTTCAATTAATAATTCAGATAATTTTATTATTGTATAGGAGAACAATTAAAAATTTTATTTTTCTCAATTAATTTTATTAAATAAAAAAATTATGACACATGGATATTTATAATTTTTCAAACCACATGAGATAATTTATATTTTAAGCAAACCTCAAAGGCATGTATTTATAATTTACCATTTTCGATCAATAATTCAGGTAATTTTCTTATGGGTAAATTACAAGTACACCTCTTGAAGTTTGTTTAAAATATGGATTGCTTTCTATGGTTTGAAAAATAATAAATACCCCCTTATTAGAATTTTTTATTTAACAGAATTAATTGAAAAAATGAAATTCTTAATTGTTCTGCTATACAATGATAAAGTTACCTGAATGATTAATTGAAATAAATTTATAATATCATTAAAAACTGTTAATTGACTTAATAATTTATTAATAAAATTGATCATTTTAATGATTTATTAAATTGTATTTTAAGCACTTATGAGTGAGACCCATTTTTTTTCGGGATCCCCACATATCCCCAAAGTGATCCACACCACTTATGTATGTATGGGGCCCACATCATGAGTGGTGTGGATCACTTTAGGAGTTGTGAGGTTTCTAAAAAATGGGGATTTCTATCATTGTTGTATTAAAATTATATTTATCGTTTATTTTTTAAAAATAAATATGATTCAAACATATAATTATCGATATTTAATCATTTTTTATTTTTTACATAAATATTCTACTCAACGAATCTTAAATAGTAAATAATTTAGATCATCAAAATCGATCTCAAAATGGACTTACTAAAACTAAGAGCTTCTTTGGCATGCCCTTTTATAACACAATTTTTTACCTTTTTATCTTTTTTGGGTCACAACACCTCTCTATTTTTCTGCACATATTTTTATAAAAAGTCAAAAATTATATTTGTTTAGATCATCCCAAATAACCTCTTTCAAATTAATATCACAATTTGAGTCAAAGCCATTTAGAAAAATGCCACTAAAGACCCAAAAAAAAAAATCATTAAAGAGGTAGTTTATTTCTAGGGTAAATTATAATTTAACCCCCTGTGGTTTACCTCAAAAACATGGAACTCCCTTGTAGTTTCATTTATAACACTTAAACCCCTAGACTTTATACCATGTTGTAATTTTTTACGGACGTAACAGAAGTGCACACCGCCTGATAAAAAATAAAAAGAAAAAAGAAAAAACAGGATGTGAAGAAAGAGAGAAAGAGATTGCAACCAGGGAGATTTCATTTTCTCTACAATCTCTCAAGAATAGAGTAGATTATATCACATCTTAACATATTCCGAGTTCTGTCCTCTCTCTCATGTGCTTGAGCTTTGCCTCTCTTTCATGGCCAAATCAGTCTTTATCTTTCTCTTGCTCTTTCTCTTTCTCTCAACAAACTCAGTTCTTTCTCAGCTCAACAATGGCTTTGTCTACAATAGCTTCAAGGGTTTTACCAACAACAACAACATAAGCCTAAACGATGTTGCAGAGATCCACGACAATGGTTTCCTCCAACTCACCAATGACACGCTTCGATTGATCAACCACGCCTTTTACCCAACTCGGATCCAATTCAAAAACTCCATAACTGCCAAAGCTCTCTCTTTTTCTACAGCCATCGCTTTCGCAATCATTCAAGAGTACGAAAAGCTCGGCGGCCATGGCTTGGCCTTCACAATTTCGCCCACCAAGGAGCTTCAAGGGGCTCTTTCGAGTCAGTATTTGGGTCTTCTCAATGCCAACAACACTGGAAATTCCTCAAAACCATTTGTTTGCATATAATTTGGTAGTTATTAGTGAATTTGATAGATAATGGATTAATTATTGAGCAACAATTAGTGACAACAAACAGAAAATTTTAGAAAATTTGATCTTTCTCGACATTTGCAGCCTCCAAAATGAAAACATTTGTTTCATTTTGGTGATTTTCTGTGAGTACCCACATGACCCATTTGTGTTTTCTTTTGCATTTGCGATAGTAGACATTGTTAGTGTTGTGAATTAATTGGAATCATTAGTGGATGTAGTTGTTTCTAGGTACATACATATATTTTGTTTGGGTCTGGAGGTATTTGCAGGTGAGGAGGCCATTAGAGGGAAAGGGAGAGTGTTTTCTCTCTCTCTCTCTCTCTCTCTCTCTCTCTCTTTGTTGTTTTTTCTTTTTTATTTTCTTTTATTTTTTGTTAGGCGGTG